GGATTATAATTCTCTAATCTTTTACTTGGTAGAGCCACGCTGCAGCTATGTTTTGGTTGTAGCATAAATGGGTCAGCTCGACTGGGGCGTACTGGGACAACGTAAAATAGCAGCTTAATGCTGATGTGTTTCGTATGGAGAGTGTAGAAAACCGGGGACGCTTTTTACTGGAAAAGAGGCATTCCATCTTAGTCCTCAGGGGTGACAACGCATCTCTATTTTGATTCGTAATAGAGGATAGATGTAGATGTCTATGGGCCACAACAATCACTTACCATCATGTGAATTGGGTGCTCTTCTGTCACCCTACTTCTATAAACAATGGACAAGTGTGATGAAGAATACACGGAGTTTGTTTGGCCACAGTGTAAAGATGTTTCGGATTGTAGTTATTAGTGTTACTTTATCACAATCACATTGCGGTCGAAGAAATGTTAAAAAAATATTATTACGTTCATTCCCTCATCTTCGCTAAGATTATTCTAATGAATAATATTCCTTGCTTGGTTTTATTTTTTTCTAAAAATGATTAAGTTGTTACTACTTTTTATTATTTTATCATGGTTTCTCATTTGTAATAACTTAAATAGTCTCAGTTACTTTATTTCGTAAGTTTTGCAAGTTATATGCTAACTAAATAATGTTGATTAATAATAATTTAATTACTATTAAAAGGTTGCTTATGTGACCAAATAGAACCGAATAAAAGTTTTGTTAACCAACTTGTGTTCCTATAAAACTTATTAGTAATAGGTATAATTAACATAATATTAATTTAGCATAAATACGTACTTTATTAAGATTTAAAATTAATAAATACCAAACTGGTTATTTATATACAGATAATAATTAAAAAAATCGTTTTATTCGTCCATAAATAATTAATAATTTATTAAAATTATACAAATATGTCACTACCGTGGAGTTGTGTCACTTCCGTGGAGAGGTTTTCATGTTTTTGTGAAAACTACAGTGAAAATAGCTAGGCTTTTATGTGTTCCTTTTGCAAGGTAAGATACCTTTCATTTGAGAATACTTTGAATCAGATCAAAATAAAAAAAAATATTTTTTAGAATTTTAAGTCCGTTTTTTAGAATGGACCGGACCTACTCGTTACTTAGTCGGGAGCGATAGCAAAACTAGTAGGTATTGTACACTGTAAAGACGTTAGCAGGTGGCTGAAGACCCCAAAATGCATACAATTTCTTGTGATGTTTTATATTGTATACATGTGTATATATGTGAACTCATAGTTTACACGAATTGTTTACATTGGCAGATATTTAATTCACAAAATCTGTAACTTTTACGATTTTCGCCTTGTATGACACTTTGGACTTTTCTCATAAAAGCTAAGAGAAGTAGGCATAATTATATCAGGCGCTGCAATATTATTTCTTTTACTGAAAATTTTAACTTCTTTATTTGGTAGGTACATACTAGAAAATAAAAAATATAGAACAAACAGAAATCAATTAAAATATAAGGACAATACTTACTACTATCAATAATAATAAAGAGAGGAAATTCCAAACATTTAAGTATTCGAAAATTACAAACAAAAGAAGTTTATTTTGTATGAAGTTTGCACAACACTGCAGACTTTTTAAAATTTCTATCTTGTGTAACAAATAGAATAGTTTTTATAAATAGGTGTTTTTATGTATATATATATATATATATATTGGCTACAATGCTATAAATAAAAACAAATTTGCATATTAGAGGTTCAATTGTGCTCAATTTATCTTTGAAGTTTAATATTGTCTTTCGCTTTAGAAATAATAGAGAAGTCTCATTGTAAATATATCTAGATGGAAAAACAAACAAAATGCTAGTTAATCGGCTATAGGCAAGTGTGATGCATTCCTGTTCGGATTTCCTTTAACGCATCATTCAAATTCCCTCTTGTCGGTGGAGACAGCTAGTCTGTGTCTCTGGTGTGTTCAATCGTTACCGAGGCGCGTCGGTCTGCACCGTCGGGCATGCGCACTTCGTTTGTAGTATGTACGCTATACGAGTCTCTGCTTAGAGGGAAGTGAGGAGGAACGACACCGTACGGTGGCGAGAGGCCGCCGCACTGCCACGCCGCGCCGCCCGCACCCGCAGTCCTCCCGCCGCGCCGGTTCTGCGCGCTCCACGCTAACCGTATCATGGTGAGTCATTACTAAGTGCGAAACTATTCATTTATGACGACCTTTACGATAAAGATAAACTAAACTGCACGCAATCGCTTATATTGTAATGCGTATTGAATTACGCTTACGTATGATACAGCCCATGAATAAGGTCACCCGTCATTGCCGTGAGCACTTAACCTAATTATCATGTAAACTGAGAATACAAAACAAACACTGCAAATAAAGGAGCTAATTTTAAAAAACCTGATATGACAACCGTATTAACCGATTCGACGTCTGACAATTTACAGGTAATGGACAACCGAATAAATGAAGAAAACAAAAATGAACAAAATTCACCAATTTTCATTACAAATTTTGAAAATGGAGATATTGTTAATTATTCACTTGTTATAATTAAAGGAATCATAACATCAGGTGACTGCAGCAATCACATGAAATTAAAGTGCACAGTAAGACTCAATGAACTTCAAAAAGTATCTCATTGGGAAGTTTACAACAGAGAATTTAAAATATTATTAGAGTTACGAAGAGGAGAAAATATTATTGATTTAGATTATGCAGAACAACATCATAAGACATTAGTTCTTGAATATACACCAAGAAAAACAAATCTGAGAGTGACTCCTATGTATATTATTTGTCAAGGTCATGACGGCTCCTTCCAAAGTCCACCTGACGTAGACAGTTCTATAGAGAGTGCATGCTCGCGAATAGCTGTTGGCTCCAAATTAATTCAAAGCATAACTGCTGAAAAACTGTATGAAAGTGGCGTTGGGCGGAAAACTTTTCAACTAGAACATGAAGTTAATCCTAAAAAGCCTGAATGTATAGTGTTTAGAAGTAATTTAAATGTAAACAAAGCGAGAAAAATGAAACAAGGAGAACTGTGGACCCATTTCGGTAGAGAAATAATGCTTTCCGATTTAGGCAGTAATGAACGAAAATATCTAGGATTTATATCCTGTACAAGATATAAAGGCACTGATATTGACAAACCAATGACACATGATGAAATAACTTCATTAACAGAAGCATATGCGGCTTTAGGTGGCGGCGGTTTAGCACTATTTGGAACGGCTTGTTTATATACATGGCCTACATGTGTGGAAGAAATTGTTCCAAAATTTTTAGATTGTTCTCCTGTTAACACACGTAGATTTATGGATGACAGTGGATACCGAAACACATTAGGAGGATGTTTTGCAACCACATTGGGATCTGTTATTCATGAACTAGGTCATACATTTGATCTTGGGCATACCAAAGATGGCATAATGGGAAGAGGCTTTGATAATATTGACCGAGTGTTCTTAGTAGGAGACAAAAGATCTTCTTTAACGAAAGACAATATGAATAATTTTAATGGTAAGCCAGTACAGCATTCAACTGTTTCGCTACAACGTAACATTAGCGTTACGATGAACGTAGCAGAACCGCTACGTGTTTTAGGACCAAGAAGTAAGACCACATTAGGAAACTTTGCTTCAATGTCTAAATCGGATATAGTAAGAAGAAGCCCAAATATTACACCAATTACAAGACCATCTAGTCTTTATTCAAGTGTGACGAATAGATTATCTGAATCACGGAAAAACATGAATAGGTCGAATGGTAACGACTTTGTTTATTGGAGTCGAAATTGTGCAGTTCTGTTATCTTATCACAGATGGTTCAATAACGAATATGGTAGAGAGAGACAAGCTATAACTAGATATCTAAAATTCGATAAAAATAAAATGATGATTATCTCTACAGCTGGAATAAGAATAGTTGAGGTTAGAGATGAGTCAAATGGAATGGTGTTAGATTCATACGAATTTACGAATGTCTTGCCAGAAAAAAGGTTTTTAGTGCCATTTACTTTTTCTCCAAAAAGTAAAGTGTTGACAATAGTGGTAGAAGACGATTTAGGAAATGTCCTTAAACAAACATTTTCCTATTGAACTCTAAAAGTGATAAAAAGACTATCAAAATGATATTTAAATGACAATAGTATGTTGAGTATTATTTATTATGCTTTTATAGCTTTTACATTACACGGTTTAATTTATATCTTCAGTTTGAGTAGAACTATATATAGTAATGGTTAATACGTAAAATTATATTAGAGTATGTGCGAAAACGAAACACTTAAACATGAAAATAATATTATGATACAAAAAATATAAGTACGTAGGTACAATTGGAGTGTACATAAACATGTAAGTTTATTTTATTTTATTGTTTCAAAACTCATAGTCGCCATTTTAATTTATCCTCTTATTGACGAAAAACATCAAGAACGTTCAACATCCGCTCCATAACGCTAAAATTCTACATAGGTTTCCATTATCGCACAATCTCTAAATTATTTTGTTCTTTGACTTATAAGCTAAAGGATCTCGCGAAATTGTGACAAAATAATAGGTTTCGTTTTTACTTTTTATATGCCAGTGCTTGACTACAATCCCATCTGAAAGTCTATTCATAATGTATTACAGTAATATTTATAGGTATGTGCGTTTAGTTCTGTTTCATCAGTGTACATATTCGATTATAGTTTCCGCATTATGATTATTTTGTTATATAACTAAGGTACTTCTGTGCGAAAAATATAAAAAATATTTTTTTTCTTTACACTGGCAAAAGTATAATCGTACGAGTCCACAACCATAGAAAAAAATGTACTCTACGATATCAAATCAAATGTCAATATTGTTTACATTTTTTTACCACGGTCTTGACAAAATTGTTTACGTTTCAGCTTAAAAATATAAGAAAAATTACTATGTTCATCGTTATATGAAGCGTGCGTATTCAGTATACAATCATTAAATTAAGCTGATAGCTACATTAATTTGTTAAATTACTCTTAAAATGGCAAGTGCTATAATATCACCTACGAACTTTGTTCTTGAAGAAATCAATTTTTTTCCATGTGATGTGAACGGGAAAATAAATTTTGTGCAATTTATGAAGGCAACTTCAGATCTTCTGGTTTTAGTTGGTATGTCATTATATATAAGTTCAAATTAAAAAAAGTTAAAAATGTAAATAAGTATTAAGGGATATTACAGATCGGCTTGGAAAAGTATTTGTTCCTGTTAAACACGATATGCAAGGAAATATTGATGTAAGTATAATTTATGTTATAGTATCTTTATTTCAATACCTACTTGATATTAAGATAGAGCTTTTAATTTTAATTTTATAGACTAAGTGTGAGAAACAAGCACACAGTCTACCTGTGAATGCTATAGCCCCATAGACATCTACATCTATTCTTAGTTAAGAATGCAGATGTGTTTTCACTCCTAAGGTTGATGATGAAATTCCTCGTTTCCAGAAAAATGGGTCTCCAGTTCTCTACACTCATGATATAAAACAGCAGCATTAAACTATTATTTTACACTAGTATTCTGTGAGATTGTGGTCCTTTCCCATTCAAGCAGACCCATTCTTGCTACAACTATTATATAGATGCAGCATGGATCTGCTACATATTTAGACAAATTATTAAATCAATTTATAACAAGGTCATCCTAATGGCAGTGGGATATCAGAAGTATACATAGGTATTGAAAATGTGATGACGTGAACCACTGTTAAGTGCAACAAAACTTTATTAATATTTAGTTACTCATCATCACCATTATTACAGCCCTTTACATGTTTACTGCTTAACATAGGCCTCCCCCAAGGAATGCCACAAAGCATGGTCCTGAGCCACCTGCATCCATCGACTTCCTGCTCGTCTTATCAGGTTGTCACTCCACTAGTGGAGTGTCGCCCTACACTTCACCAACTAGTATGAGGGTGCTACTCGAGAACCCTTCTTCCCCATCAGTTGCCCCTTCTTCGAGCTATATGGCCGGCCCATTGCTATTTCAGCTTATTAATCAGTTAGGCTATGTCATTCACTCTGATTCTATTATGGATATCCTCATTTCTAAGTTTATTAAGCAAAGAAACCCTGAGCATAGCCCTCTCCATAGCTTGCTGAGTGTACTTGAGCTTCCTCATACGGCCAGCAGTGAAGGACCATGTCTCAGATCCATAAGTCATCACTAGCAACACGCACTGGTTGTATAATCTCATTTTCAGGTTTTGAGGTATACCTGACGAGAAGATGTGTTACTATTAGTATTTTAAGGTACTATTCATTACCTTATTACAGAACTTGATTGAACAGATTATGCATTTATCACTGAAATAATAAAATGTGAATGATATAATATTGTCCTTTCATTTAGGCATTAAAGCCTCTTTTATATAGGTCTATTTTGTTTAAGAAAATAAAAAAACGTTACAAATATAAGGAAGATTCTTGTTTGCTTGAGCTGATGCTTGAAGAGATTCATAATGGCAAACCTATAGCAGCAGAGAGTGTTTTGTGGCTTAACCGGTAAATTTTTATTACTAAATATTTTACTTTATAATTTGTTTTTATACATACATTTAATATGAAAGAATATGTTATGTATATAGGTCATATTACTTAAATATTTAAAAAAAAGTAAAAATGAAGTTAAAGCCTATGTACATCCCACTTGTGGGAGCAAGGTTTCCACAAATTTCTGAGGGTTTCAGAGCAACGAAATGTCCTCATGTTGTAGTTAAAATAAAATAATATGCAATGCATATGGATTTCGGGTGAACAAATATTTTTATTTTTTTATTTCTCAGACATGACATTTAATTTCCTTAACATCCAAGCATGTGGTAAATCAGCACTTAAAATTGTTTCAGTGAGGATCCAACCCGGGTCGCTTGTATACAATGAAACTTTAACAGAGAAATTAAAAGAGAGCACTTAGCACTTTGACCTACCACAATCCATTTTTAAATAATTAATTTTTTTATACTTTCAGAGCATTACTATTTTTTGAGTTAACATTTCAAGAACTGTTGAGAAATTTAAAATTACAACAGTATGATGCAAACATGAAAAAAATTTTTACTCTAGCTTATGAAGGTTCTGTTAAACAATATCACAATTGGGTGACTCAACAAATATTTAATGTAAGTAGATGTTTGTTTCATTTCTATTGGTTTCTTCCTTATTTTATAAATACAAGTTTTCTATGACACTGCCATTCAGTCAAAATATTATAATTCCAAATGGACCTTAACAAACCACTTCTTTTTGGAGGTACAAGAATATTCACTAACCCATACTGTGCCGTGAGCTTCGTAAAAGGCCATAATTGTCTCCCTAATAACTAAAAAATAAAAAAGTGCAGTTGCCAACCTGCCTGACGAATGTGCCAATTAGAACACATACCCTCCTTATGAGGCAATCTATAGAATAGAATAGAATGATTTTTTATTCAATATTGATTATCACATAATACTTATTGAAAGTCATTTTTTATTTACCACTGATTCGGAAAATACCTTTGTCCTGGGAAGAACCAGCAGGAAACCCAGTGGGATTTTTTTTTAAACATATTTCAGTTAACAATAATTTTGTTTGTACAATTGTTAAATTAATTTTCGTAGAACCAGCATGGTGGCGATCACCTTATTCCCAGGGGTAATTTTCATTCATGTATTCCTTGATATTACTTTTAAAAACATCTTAGTAATAACCCTTTTTTTTACAGTTTTTCTTTAATAAAACTTTTAAACTTGTTTATTGACAAACTTTGAACATGTTCTGGGATTTTGTTGTAAAAGCGTATACATTGCCCTATAAATGAATTACTGATTCTGTGGAGTCTAGTAACTGGCATTACAAGCTTATGTTTCTTCCTAGTGTTTAAAGTATGAACATCCATATTCTTATTAAAGCTATTTATGTTTTTATTTACATACATTACAATTTAGGTTATAAATCGCCCGTACGGCTCTCTTTTGCAAAACAAATATAGCTTCAATATCAGTTGCATTCCCTCATAGCAAAATTCCATAAGACATTATGCTATGATAGTAACTAAAATATATATATATATCATGTATGGGCACTTAAAACGAAAAAAACATTTTTAAAAATTTTGTTTGTCTGTTTGTTCAGGCTAATCTCCGAAGTGGCTGGACCGATTTTGACTCTGAGATAGCTGATATTATAAGGAGTAACATGTTACTTTTATTTTAGAAAAAACATTAGAGTTCCAAGCATTAAAATTAAAACCACTGAAATCCAATTGTAATAAATAAACACGGACGAAGGCGCGGGGAACATCTAGTGAATATATAAAAAAGTGGCATAGGTGGAACAATTTTTATTTTCAGTGAGTTGTAAGCCTAATATATCATAGTATGCTGGACGTTGATGGATGTAGGTGGCTCAGGACCATGCTTTGTGCCATTCCTTAGGAGAGGCCTATGTTCAGCAGTGGACTTGTGAAGGGCTGTAATGTTGATGATGTTAAATAAGCCTAATATTATATCCTTATCCTTTTGTTCTTGCCCCAATGAAAAGTGAATTTATTAGGCTCTATTTTCATTATGTCTCGTCCCATCGTCCCTTCATTGTCTCTCCCATAATTAATTGTTGTGTCAGTTTGATGGCAGTAGGGTGTTACCCAGCCCATCAATCACCAACGTGCCTGCCAAAGGTGATTATGGCAGTGAATTTTATAAATGTCTAATTTAATAGAAAACGAAATGGTGGCATATTGCTAGAGAGTGGCAGCAATCTTTTTTCCAACTTTATTTCCTATTATTGCTAATGTTATCTAAAGTATAAGTACTAAAACATAGCTATTGAGGACATATCTTTGAATAGAAAAACAAGCACATAAATTGAATGAAATGGTTCTTGAGTCATAAGTTTTTTCAACGTGGTAGAGCCATGCTGCGGCTATATTAATTGTATAGTAGTAGCGAATGGGTCAGCTTGAGCGAGGAAGGACCAAGCTCTCACAGAATACCAGCTTAATGCTGCTGTGTTTCGTATGGTTAGTGTAGTGAACCCCTTTTACTGGAAAAGAGGCATTCCATCTTAGTCTTCACAGCTGACAACGCATCTGCATTTTGATTCGTAGTCGAACATAGATGTAGATGTCTATGGGCCACAGCATCCGCTTACCATCAAGTGAACTTTGTGCTTGCTTGTCACCCTTATCCTATAAAATAAAAAATAAAAAGTGCACAAATGGATGGACAGACAGACAGACAAACAATGCTTAATTATATATGTAAGAATTAGTGTGACAATGAAGTTACAGTCTGCCTAATGGTAAGTGGCCATGGACACCTACGACCAAATTTAAACAAATAATCCCTTACCTATCAAATTGGAATACAGCAATGGATTCACTACTGTTTATTGGCTGGAATAGGCAAGAGAGTAGTATCAAACTAACTAGACATATTTTGTGGTTCCACTGTATATAGCAATAATTCAATAAGTTGTAGTTAAAATAAAATAGTTTTAAAATAAAAGTAGATATATTTTTTTAAGAACGAAAAGGTTATAAATTCAATGAAATAAACTCTTTATGGTTATACTTCGATATAAATTTTATTACTTTTTAATGTTTAGATTTTATGTACTTGTCATGACAATTAAAGACCAACATCAATAAAATATTAACAGCCAGTTATGCATTACCATGCTTAATATTTATCATAATTTTTTTATTGCCCATAGATTGGCCCAAGATACCCTCTAATTCTCCAGTTGCCACATTTGTCAGGTTGATTGGCAACTGCTGTTTTTTTATATTTTAAGCTGTTGGCAGGAAAATGCTGCTGTCCATCTCCAGTTTTAGGTTCCCCCTATTGCCTCTTACAAAACCCATGGGATGTTGTAATTTCCTTACGACACACTACACAGCACTAATAATAATAAGTGTTATTTTTACTGTATAATAAAATAATAATTGTATATGTAATGAAATTTATTATATATTGTACAAATGCTAATTATATATTTCCAGGCCATCTGCAAAATGTCACCAACACTGCCACAAATTTTAAAGGCCTTTGAGGTTGAAGATAATATTAAAGCCTTTGAGTCAAGATTGTCTAATTTTAATGTTACTTTACATTTAGTTAGGTGTAAAATTGACAACTTCTTTCGGGATCATAATTTATTTAATAATACAAATTAATAATAAAATAGCTTCCTAATACAAAGTATTACACCAAAAATTTATATGTGATTTAAAAAGTGTACTTTGCTAAGATTTAACTATAGGTGCTGCAATAATAATTTTTGAGGCAATGTCGAAGTATTTAAAATATGAGGTATTTATTATTTTATAGAATCATGTAATTTTTTATTAATTTATGGGACATCATTAATTCTGATATGTTAATTTGAAAATTCTGCTCTTAAATGTTAGTTATTAAGTTAATATACTTCTTGTCTTGGACATGTTGTTGCAATTGTTGGTAAGGGGTTTCTTTTCTTGCTCAATTGCTAAGTATAGCCATTCAGCAAGGACATCCAGCCAGCGTTCTTGGCTCTATACCACGGGGAGTAGAACTATATGTTAATATTTAAGTTTTTAGTTTCAGTTTTTATTGTGCTAATAAATATTATACATTTTAATATCTAAATATATATTAAGTTCATATATATGATAAGTATTAGAAATGGCTGCATAAGTTAAAATGTAATATTATACACTACTCTAATATAGTTTGTACTGCTATATATGAAAAAAAAATCAATGTAAATTCTCATGTTAAATGTTAATAACAGAATAGAAATAAAGAAATAAATTTTCTTAAAATACATATTTTAACATAAAGTTATATTTGATACTGGCACATCAATTAGAATAAGTTAATAATCAAGATACTTGAGGTGCTCCTATGATTGGTCCATGACTATGTTATTATTTAGTAGATAACTACAAATCACAAATTTTATGTCCATAGAAAGCACTATTTTTTATACAACACAAATAATACAAATTCTTAATTAAATTTATTTTTTGGTAAAAACTACACAATTCCTATTGTAAATTAACTTAGCTTTCCTATTATGTGGAACAGTGCTACTGTGTGTACTCATAGTATATATAGTTTTTAGTTGTAATTAATTAATATTTTAAAGTCCTTTTGTATTTATGTTGCAATACATTTTTGAGTTAAAATTCTAATATTTCACCTGTTGTCTGAATGTGACAAATAAATGCTTTTAGCAACTGATGATGCTTGTTTTAAAGCTAATAAACCTAGTATAATTTCCACAAAGGTAATAACCCATAAAGTAGCATGCAATGTGTATTCTGTGGGTGTACTCAACAAAAATGGATTAAATAAAAAGTAAGTTACAAGTGGCATTTGCATTAATATAGTAAGAATTAAAAAACCTGCCAATTCAGGAACCTGTAAGAAAAAAAAAACAATGAAATTATAATAATTATCAATCCATTTTAATTATATCATAGATTGATAAGAATACTTACTCTGAATGACAAATTTCCATAATGAGCTAAATAAAGTCTTGTAAATTCTATGATAAATATTAATGTGTACACTGTTACTGACAAATATTTAGACAAATGTCCAAGTTTATCAAGCTAAAAAGAAAGAGATATAATGTGTTACTCAACAATTATATACAATATAAATGTTCATAACATCTTCAGGCATGGATCTTTCCCACTGGAGAGTTGATTTTTCCATAGCTGCAGAATCAGGCAGATTGAAATTCTAAGTACCACACATCTCAATCGCATCAATATTGCTACCTATCAATCAAATGATAATCTTACATGTGGCATATATGAGACGGTTATAACATTATCTGGAGGCCACATAGAGGATTCTTGAGACTTACATAATCACCTCTTACAATGCTCACTGGATGAAATGTAGTGATGAATACTCTATGTCACCACCACACGGATTTTTATGTTGAAAGGTTAACATACAACACAGGCAGGCAAGGCTAAAGTAGAACCTGACAGGATATACATGGGTACAATATAACGTTGAGGATACATTATGAAAAGATCACTTTACGACCAAAATTATCTCGTATTATGCATTCTGTAACAAGCTAAGAGAAAAATGAACAAACCATTTGTGGAAAATACATGCAATGAATATAACGGTTGAAATAACAAAAGGCTACTAAAATCAATAGATAGGCATTTTTACCTTCACATATAGGAAGAAGGCAATAACAACCAACCAAATGGCATAAACATAAACATTGAAATATAAACACTTTTGTAAATTGAGCATTGTCCGATATTTCATACCTACTTAGTTTTACAAATAAACTTTATAATAGTACCTATTTAACAAATTATATACCCTCTATACAGCTTATAAACAAATTTCACTACTTATACTTATGTATTGTTGTTTTTTTTAATGACATTGAGACTTGATTTTTTTTTTTGGAGTTTATGGCCTGGTATCTAGACCTTTAGGCCAAGTCTTAAGTATTTTCATTCGGTTTATTGTAATTTCCCCACTCCTTCATAGTATACTGCTTCACAATATGTTGATGCGTCACATTGTGCAGTTCTTGGGAGATTTTGGCGGCAACTTGATCCAGCAGACAGCTGATAGTTGGCGATGGTATCTAAAGGTGCCTATGCAAACAAACAGCTTATCTTGAGAATCCATCACCATCAGAGCACTTGTTTCACTGTTTCCACTAATAGTTCACATGCGTAGACACTTAATACACAAAATCGCAACACTTTTACATATCAAAGTCCACTTCAAACCATTATTTAAACAATAATACAGGAGCAGCAAACCGCCGCCGGCAAAAAAAAACAACTAAATTGCTGTATTTAATTATTTATTTTAAAATTATCTATTCCTTGTTTTGTTTATCCTCCGTAAATGTATATTTTCCGTCAAGTTGGCGGTTGATATTTTTATTACGGAAAGGTTACATTATTATAAGCACACACGCAAAGTTTCAACATTCGAGGACACATACTTTTTGAAAATCAACTACTTTTGCAATATTTATGTCAATTCCTACCGTAAAACTGATGCCATTTTTTATGGTTATTATCAGTAGGGATGTCGAGTCATTCCGAAAAAGATCGATTTTTTAAATAGATTAGAATTGTAAGCTGATGTATCGATTCCCAAAAAATCGATTTCTAAAATATCTATATTTTTTTAATGTTTGCATTTATAATGTAAATATAAATCCATTTTATAAGAAAAAATTCTCCTTCATCATAAAAAATAGGAGGACTGATTCAGAAGGATTTCTGTATCTATTTTGAGACTGCTACGTCTCCGGCGCTGCGGGAAGAGCAGCCTTTACGCCTTAGCGTAACAAATCGCAGGCATACAATTTCTTACAGCAGGCGGAGGCTGCTCCCCCTACGCGCCTCCGGCTCTATAAAACCACTCTAGGGGTAGGACAGACCAGGTGGAGTCGGGGTCAATCAATTCGGTTCTTTGACATAAGTTGAACCTAACCTATTTTATTTGTTATCTGCCCTAATAGGTACTGTTAAATTAAAACAAATTTCAATAAGAGATCATTTATTATGGTATCGTTCTTCGTGAAATGGATTTATATTTACATTATAAATGCAAACATAAAAAAATATAGATATTTTAGAAATCGATTTTTTGTGAATCTATACATCAGGTTACGATTTGAATCGATTTAAAAATCGACCTTTTTCGGAAAGAATCGACATCACTACTGACGACGACAATAACATTACAAAATGGCGCCAGTTTTACGGTAGGACACAGAATACTTTGAATAATCAGAAGGTAGGATTAGACATAAACTTGCAAGAATAATTGATTTTCAATAATTTTTTTTTTCAAAAATTACGCGTTTCCGCATGTTGAAACTTTGTGTGTGTGCTTATAATACCGTACCGTGCGTGTAACTTTTCTGTAAAAATACGTATCAACGCCCAAATCGACGGACGTCAATGAAAAGCTAAGCCTGAGCTATTTGTCACATAGTTGAAAATTCACACTGTAATTTAATCTCAGACACTGTGCACTTTGCTCTATATGGATCATCATTAACAAAAGCAATCTAGTTTTGAATAAACGCCACTGTAATCTATACTTCCGTTTTATACTTTCCCCTTTTTCTCACCAAGGCATAAAAAATACGATGTTACAACTATGTTTACAGTCAGGATTTCCCCGCTTTATTCATGAAAATACTAGTGGAAAAACGTTTCGTTTCACCTTAGTCACTTGCCGTATTTTGTGATACGGTAATGCGAGAATAATAATATTTTCTGAAAAAAAAAATAGAATTGCCGCAATACGAATTACGGCAATTACCGTATCAATGATAAGACTGCCGGTTTCTAGATGATCTTTGTGGTTTAGTTTGTGTAACGACCGACCGACAAAAATATTGTTTTAAATATTTAAATATAATAATATATCCGACCGTGACATACCGTGTGGGTTTGTTTTAGGCATGAGACCGATATATCAAAACATAACTAATAACGTTATGTTATCAAATATCATATCATATCGATAAACCTAAGAACATAACCGTTATCACATATCCAACCAAAACCCAAAATCAACTAACCAACGTACGAAACTTAAAACGCAAACTGTAACAATATGCCAAAAACCGAAAACGGCCCAAAACCAAAACTAAGCGATGTCCTTTGATATTCGTTGTTTCTCGTTCTAGCGACAGTATCATAAATACGTATGAAAGAGATGAAGCGAATATGGATTTCGTTGCGATGTTTTGGTTATCATAAAACGGTGCACGTAGTGAAATATAATTATAAGATTCTTAACAATAAGGTCGAATTTTAAATGGTTAAAATTGCCTAATATTTTTAAGTTTGTGTAGTTGTGAGAGTTGTCAGATTTAAATGATCTTTAGGATTTTAAAAACTAGACTTAGATTTGTTTCATCACATTATATTTGGTTTAGGCAACTTTTGTTTATGTGAAAGTTAGAATTTGATTTTTTTTTCAAACGTAACAATTACGCACTTGATATTGGTGGCGTGTGCCGTTCACTATGAATCTTTCTGTAAAATTATTAATTTTTGACATTGCGTTTGTGCATTTATTTGTAATATTTGTTTGCATTTTGTACATTTGTTTTAAAACTTTCCTGCCAGTCCTAAGCCTAGTTAAGTATATGAAGGTAAATTGCCAACTTAAATAATCATTATAAAAAATAATGATTATTAATATAATAATAATAAATAAACTATGTAGGTACCTATAATAATTTAATTATATAAATTATGTTTACTACTTATGAATACAGTTTAATTATAGACTTCGAAATCAAACTCTGTTCCTACGTCTCACTTTAAAAAAAATATGGGTATAAGCATTATAGACATAAATGAGAATAGAAAGAATGTAATTTTAGACATTTATAATACTATATTTCTGCATAACAATTATAAATTATATATTAACATCTAAATATTCTAATCTAAAATTATTAGAGCCTCTGACTTCTAAACTAAAATAATCAAAGTAATTCGTAAAATAAATGTTGCACTCGTTCTACAGTTTTCAGGCATAGATGAGCCACTCTGAAAAATAATTAGGTGACGAAACGAGGAAAGTTTCTTCTGTGCTTTTATAGATGGCGTAGGGATTACAAATTACTGAAAATTACACTAGAGGGCGCTATCATCTAGGTTCAGTATTATTATTTTTTTTTTTTTTTTTAGGAGAGGGGGCAAACGAGCATGCGGCTCACCTGATGGTAAGTGACTACCGCCGCCCATGAACAACCGCAACACCAGGGGAATTGCAGATGCGTTGCCGGCCTTTTAAAAAGGAGTAGGCTCTTTTCTTGAAGGTCCCTAAGTCGTATCGGTCCGGAAAAATCGCTGATGGTAATCGATTCCACAAGGAAGTCGTGCGAGGAAGAAAACATCTTCTAAATCGCACAGTGGTGGACCGCCAATCATCCAGATGGTGTGGATGGTATCGGGAGTTCTGCCGCGATGTGCGTTCATGAAATTTGGCGGCTGGGATTAATCCGAACAATTCCTCAGAGCACTCCCCATGGTAGATGCGAAAGAAAATGCAAAGAGATGCAACATCTCTTCGCAGTGCCAATGAATCGAGCCGATCGGAAAGGGCTCGGTCGTCGACAATTCGAGCCGCTCTGCGCTGGATGCGGTCAAGTGGAAGGAGCTGGCACTGGGGAGCCCCTGCCCAGAGATGGGAACAGTATTCCATGTGAGGCCGAACCTGCGCCTTGTAAAGTTGCAGGCGGTGTGCCGGCATGAAATACTGTCCCGCTCTGCTGAGCACGCCAAGCTTTTTAGAGGCCAATTTGGCCTTCTCTTCCAAGTGACCACGAAACTGCACGTCACTCGATATGTCGACTCCGAGGATACCGATACTGGCTGAGGCAAGAAGGGGAGTGCCTTGAAACTGAGGAGATACGACAAAGGGGTTCTTTTTAGCGGTAAACGCGCAAACTTGTGTCTTCTGAGGATTAAACTGGACTAGATTTAGTCGCCCCCAATCCGAGACTTTGTCCAGCAAAGACTCGACTTCAGACACAAGTTTGTTCCGGTACTCGGCGACGTTTTCCCGAGAAATATTGGCCCGGCCGGTGTATAGAGCATCACCAGTGCTGTCATCCGCATAGCAATGAATGTTACCAGTTAGCAACATATCATTGATATGCAGAAGAAACAGCGTTGGTGATAGCACACAGCCTTGTGGAACACCAGCGTTAATAGGCTTGTAGTCAGAACATGCACCGTCTACAACGACCTTGATGCTCCGATCTGCAAGGAAGCTGGTGATCCAATTGCACAATTTCTCGGGAAGCCCATAGGAGGGGGCTTCGTACATATTTCAATAAAATTAAAAGGAAATCAATTTAATTTAATTTAAATATTATGTAACTAATTTGTTTTAAGTAAATATTTATTATGTTTATTTGAGAAAACCATGGTGTGAATTGCTTCCTTAATTTACAAAGGATATATAGGAAATATAAGGATATAAAGGATATATATATATTTATACCGGCGTATTTCAAAACTTTTCTAGCATGATTTAGGCTTCGGTATAAATAATAAATACCCACAGTGGCGCCATATTTTAATAGATTATGAAAAATATCGGGAAAAATAGTACTTTTACTGTGAGATGGCACTAGTATCAACGTAAAGCAAGCTACTGAGGACTTTCATAACCCTGATTTTAGGTTATGTTTCGGTTGTAAACTATTACTACTGATATCGATATTTAAAAACGGTTTTCAATAACGATATGAAAACTAA